CTTATAAAAATAATTTTTTTATTAATTTAATATATACATATTTATAGTTCCTCAGAATCACCTTCTTTATTTCTCTTCAAAGAACAACGCTAATCAAATTCAAAAACACAACACTTATAAATCTCAATAGCAAAAAAAAAGAAAAAAAAAAGAAGCAGTAGTAGCATGACAACCAAAAAACACAAACCCCATTGGAACATATTTGTTTTGGTCATTGTTTTTAAAGAATAATCAATTGAATGCATCTAAGTAAGTAAAGAAGAAAATCAAGTAAAATTTTTACTTGGAATGGAAATAAAACTAAAAATCATAAATAAGTAAACAACTTACCTTGAAGTATTTAGAGACAAAAGTTGGTGACAAAAAGAGCACTTGCCGGACTCATAGGAGAAAAAAAGAAAAGGCTGAGTGAAGCAACGGTGACTCGATAAGACTAAGATTTAAGTCTGAAATAATGTTAAAGACTAAAGAGAAAAGGTGGAGTCGAAACTTGAAAGTCAAAGGCTGTATGAACTATGGAGGTTGAAGAATATGAGAAGAGTTTGAAGTTTGAAAAGTTAGAGTCTTCGAGAGTATTAGGGCAAGCAAGAATAGGAAAGGTCGGAAGGTGAGTTATGAGTGGAGTGGGATTATTTTTACGTCTAGAAGATGATGAGTCAAGAGAAACAATTAGTTAATTAGAGAATATTAGTCAATTATTAGAGGGTTTAGGTGGGATTGGGAATTGGAAAACAAAATAAATAAATAATAAATTAAAAAATTTTATATTTTTAAACGGGTAAACGGGTCAAACCCGTTAACCTGATGGGTCAACCCGTTATTGACCCGTGACTCGTTGGGTTCTCTTAACGGGTCATTAATGGGTCACGAGTCATAAATATATGACCCTAACCCGTTTTTAACGGGCAGGTAATGGGCGGGTTAACGAGTTTGGTAAAAAATTACCAGGTCTAGCCCAGAAGCATCTCTCTCATGATTAACTACCTGAACTAGTTCTTTATGGTCTGATTCAAATATGCCCTTGCTGATGCCATTTTGCTTCCATGTCAACAATATAACAATGATATGTGTTTGACAAATCATCAACAAAACTGAGGCCCAGTGACGAAGTTGAAACTGCCACATCAAATTTCCATGCATCCATTTAATCCTTGTCTAGTGAAATTGATGAGTAAAAGTCCTTAATTAAGAAAATTAGAAAGTTAAGCTCTTGTATTGGGAAAGAAAAAAGTTTGGATACTTAATTAGTAAACTTCAACAATAATTTTTTTGGGACTAGTTATAAGCACTTCTTTGTCTCTTAAGTTCAAAAAAAAAAAAAAGGAAAATAAAAATTTTATTTACAAAAATACTTATAAGTAAATTCCAAAAAATAATAATAATAATGATGAATTTGATAAGTTGCATATTTCGGCAGCCATGATCCAAAGTTTCTTGCACAAATCTAATGGCATGAAAATTAATATTCTAGCAGTGACATAAAGATCGATTTGATTAAAAGATTGGATGACCAGTCCATTTTCATGTGTCATCAAATCTTTTGGCGAGCAAATGATAATTAAACTTATATTTTTGAATATAAATAGTTATGCTTGTTGATATATCCTTATTCAGCTTCAGCGTGTGTGACATCAAATCTTTTGACGGTCTGAAATTAAAACAAAATTGTAGTGTAGCTCGATTATAAAATGTTTTTGTTAATGTCTATTTGGACTATGTTCATGTGAGAGTTGGTACCAGCTGTTTGCAATTGCAAGTTATGATAATACTGCAAACAAATAAAGTTGTTAATTGATGAATAATGAGATTTTTT